ACTTCCAGGGTCTCCAGCCAGGGACGCTGTATCTCTGAAATCCCAAGCAGGGAGTCGAGAACAACCGATCGAGGCCAGATGTTTCGTCTGTTTGACAGTTCTGCTTCTCCAAGTTGTAGACTGCCCACAACGCCGCTTTCTCCAGCTCTGTCGAACAAACACGAACAATGCCCGACGCGAAATAAATGGCATGCGCAATACGTGTCCAAGCCGCCGCAGCTGACGCAGCAAGACGGGATATCGAGCGTGTGGCTGCCTCAACTCAAGACACGCCATCTAACTTCAACATTGGTTACGTGGTGCAGTCACCACACACGGGCAATGGACCCCAAACAATGGTACTCGAAGACAGAGAGTCGGCGTAGGTCAACAGTACGAACAGACCATGACTCGCAAGCGCCCAACAGTACAGCACGGACGGTCGCAAAATAAACCCGTCATTTAGCACATAAATAGATGTCATGGTAATGCCACAAAAGCTTCATCCTGGAGAAAGCTACACGAGCTCGTGCGATACGCATCGAAATCTCGTCTTCAACAGCTCTCCCAGAAGTGATGCAGCTTCCCAGGTAGACAAAACTCCACAACTTTCAGTGCCTCACCATCAAGAGTGAGTACAGGTACAGACATCTGAATGTGTCGAAAAAGAGCTTTGCACTTAGATGGGAAAAAGCCATCCCATACTTTGACGCTCCAACCACCAAGCGGTTAAGTACAAGTTGGACGGCCTATGGACCGTCGCCCAGCAAGATGATATCATCAGCGTACTCCAAATTAGCAACTCGACTACCAGGGAAGAGATCAACGCCAACGCTCAACGAATGTTCCAGAGCATTTTTGAGGACATACTCAACGGCAAAATTGAAGAGGAATGGGGAGATAGGGCATCCTTGTCGAACTCCACTGGTGACAGTAAGAGAAGGCGAAAGCTTGCCATAAACCATAGCTCTACCCGAGGTCAGACTGTACATAGCACGCAGTACGGAAACCAATTTCCCGGGAGACGTCATTCCTCAACAGAAAGTGCCACAATGCAGTCCTGTCGAAGGAATCGAAGGCAGTACGGGTATTCAGCAACTCAGCAATCGTGGCTTTCGATAGACATGGTGGAGCTCGGGGATCTGACGGAGTGTGGAAATTTGATAGATGCGGCAGCGACCAGGGCGGAACCTAACCTATTCTTCCGGCTGTGGCGATTCGCGAGTTAGAGATAGCTTTCGAAGTATGATGGACACCAGAACCTTGTAGACAACAGGAACCAAACTTACATCCTTTTAGTTGGAGCGCACTGTGCACAGGCCCTTTTGAAGATGGGGAAGATTATCGATTCACCCTAAGACGATGGAACCTCCGAGTTCAGCCAGACGTCTGAGAATAAAGCAATGAGTTCTAGAACCAGCGAATAGCCACCAACTTTAAATAGGGATGCATGTAAACCATCAGGATCGGGTGCTTTAGAAAGCATCAAGAGGCGGAGTGGGAGGAAGTCGGTGGAGATAGACTAGGGGAAGAAGATGCGGCTGGCAGCCAGCAAAAGTGCAATCCAAAAGGTTCAGCCCATCGATGCAAACGTCTTTGAAGAATGGTGATTGGTGGGCCATCCTTTTCGCAGATTGTTTTCCTTACACAAGATCAGACTTGGATACGATGGAAGTTTTCTTGTATTACGGAAGTAAATAGCGAGTCCCATCTTTCTAACACGTTCACGCCACCAGGTTTCACGGTCCTTTTGTAAACTCCTACGCGATTCTGTCTATGGATCGGCGTTGTTCACTACAGCTGATATAGGCCGGAACCGAACGGCGTTTGTCCATCAGCGACAAAGAAACTGGTGATCCAGCTTTTCGGCGGGTGACGAACTACTCCACAACTGTCAATGCTGGCAGAAACTGATGCATTCTGATGCGCCTCCAATGAGAATTCAGATCATCGTCAGAAGCTGAGGCAACCAGTGTGGTGAAAGAGAGCCTTGGTATTTGGCTAACGTCGTAGGGCCCTGTAAATTTTCTACGCTCGGTCGGTAGTGTGTGCGCTTTGCGCTGCAGTCATTACGAGAGCAACCGCCGATGCTTACGAAAGTGTTACACAAATCTGGTGATAGAATACAGTAAATAATAGTGAGGACAGACTCACTGGTGCATCGTTGGAATGGCTGTTGAACTTGAATCACCTCAAGCGAATCGAGTAGGTGGTTCACAAGCCAGTGAGAGATGACTGCGCAGACATGCATTGTCTGCCGACACTGTTTCTCGCATGATGAAGCTCCGAGGTGGTCAGTTAGTGAGATGTAAGAGAGCAAAATGACTCGAAAGTAGGCTTTAAGTTTGTCTCTTCCTGGAAGGTTACCTCGCGATCGTCCATATCAGCGGTTAAATACACAACAGGACATACCACACTCACTAAGTCAGTTGACTCTTGCAACCGTTCAATTAATTTCGGGCCTTCAACCACTATATATTTCGACTCTATTTTAACCCACCGCTTACAGCATTTATCTTATTGTCAGTATCATAATCAACAGTACTATTATTATTAAGATCGTTATCTTTATGGTATGAGTCAAAGCGTTGATGTAGCGCAGCTGTGAACGGAACTGAGTTGCCAAACTGAACCGCACTTGGCATTTCGCAACAGTATGATCCCAGTGGCCGAAGGTTTGAACTACGTAGTCACGGTTTTAATTAAGGTGCTGAATATTCAGTGAGATAATGAAGTGGATGGAGGTAGAGTGTCAGATAAAGACAGTCAAACGGGTCGACCTGATATTGTGTTAATATGCACAACTAGTCAAACAACTGAGATGAATCGGCGGCAGTTCCAAGACAATGGAAATGCTCTAATTGGCCATCGAAAATGCTGTCACCGCGCTATGCGCAATCGTGGACAACTGCAGATGAATGTTGCTGACACAGCATGTTATGAACGAGAGAAAATAAACACAAAATGAACCGCTGGGTGTTAAAGCGCTGCAAATGTGAAGGCAAAGATGGAAACAAACTGTGGGGTAATATTAGCAATGAAGAATATATTACTACCACTCAAAGGGCGGTATCGAAATTTGAGCTGCAGTACAAAACATTGAGGTGTCTGATTGTCTACCTATGACCAAAAGCGGGTTATCGGATACGCATTGCGATCGTATGTTCAGTGTTGCGACAGCTTGATCACCAGTGCAGTACGCATATTCAAATAAAATTCCGTTCCGATCAACGAACATAGCTTGATGATAAAGTATTAGAAATAGCATCGTTCGCTGAAAAAATCATGGTAATCAGTCTGAGCGATAAGGTAGAATGTAGGAATAAAATTAAATCAGAAAGGAACGCACTGAAATACTGCGAAAGAATTTTAAACAAACAACATCTTGGAAAATACATGGAACCGATCAAGAATTCATGATTTCAGAAAGGTTTGAAAGCAACCGGTTGGTATAGCTTGTGGGCAACATTTCGCTTTTGACACAGAAACTTCGTCAGGCCGAGTGAACCGGTTGAGGATTGGTATAGCACTCATAGCAAACTTGGATGATAATGGCGACAAAGCCCAACAGCCGACACCTAGGTGGTCATCACCATCGCCATCATTAATACACGTTAGCCGAGGGTGGGAATAACAATTCAGCTAATGTGCTGCAATACATAAGGTGAGAGGTTAAACAATGTGAACTTAAAACTAGATGAAAGTAACATCATGCCAATATCACACGGGTGATCGTCGTTGAAGGGGAAGCTAAAGGGAAGGGGAAGGACAAAAAGACTCACAACACAAACGCAAGTGAAGTCGACTCTTCGTCATGTCTTCTAGTGTATCCAACCAAATGTGTTTGGCATCCATCGGTCCCCAGCCAGACAGTCGGAAAACACCAATCGAGGCCAAGTTCGAAGCGAGGGACTTCATTTTCCTTGATTAAGTCATGGATACGCCACCCCCTATACTTCCATCCACACCCTCGGCGCTCAAACAACGCACGTCGCGGGAGTCGGTATGGTGGCATGCGCAACACGTGGTCCAGCCATCGGAGTCTGGTGCGCGATATAACGGGTTGAGCGGTTCACACGCTATTCCTTCAACAAATGCTCGGCGTCGAACACGCTTACTGTTCACGCGGTGCTCCCACCAATCATGAGCTAAGCTGCAAAGGCACCGATGATCGAACGTAACTAGCCTCTTTATGTCTGTCTATTTGATGGGCCAGGTCTCACAATCTTACGGGAGAGTTGTAATACGGCTGCATTGTGAACCCTGCTCTTAAGGGTGAGTACTGTCAAGCCGGCGCCACAGATGGCGAAGATAAGCAAAGCGCATCGAGCTTTTGCTATGCGATTTGCGATCTCCCGTTCCACTGGAGCTGATATAGCTGCGCAGATAGTTGAACTCCTCGACGACTTATAACTGATCACCGCCAAGAATCAGTGCAAGAGTGGGTCCTTCCCAATTTTGGAGATGCGAGGGTGCGAAATATAGCCGAAAACGAGTAACAGTTGGAGCCAATTTATTCAGTGCTGTCTGGCACGTCTGGGAGCTGACACCGATTAGGATAATGTGGTCAGCAAATTGAAAGTCAGGACGTCATTTAGCAAGAAGCAGTTACATACGTTGTAGGTAGTACCCAGAGAATGTTTCCATAACTTCGTCAATGGCGAAGTCAAAAGAAAAGACGACCGTAGGCAACCTTATCTCACACTGCGAGACATTAAAGGAAGGTGACAGTTTAGCATAAACCCCACTCTACCCGAACTACGTGTGTAAAGCGTTCTGATAATGTGTACATATTTATCGAGCACACCTTTTCTGAGTAGACAGCCGAATGGCACATTAATCCACAGAATCGAATGAACCTTTGATGTCGAGTAACAAGGCCACAGTGAGTCGACCAGACGGGTCTAACAAGAATGAATCAATAATAGCATGATAATAATAATAGCATAATAGCATTAATAATGAAATAATAATAGCGGTAGCAGAATAAGCATGTGTGAATACTAAAAAGGACGACCTACCAAAATAACTTGTGATTGGGATCAGCCGACAGCTTCAGTTTGACATCTTTCAAAACCCTGGAGTGCTTTTTAGGATAGTGCTGTGGGGAACCTTTCACTCCTTCATAAGAAACGCTATGTTTATTACTGGTGTCTTTGGATTGTCCAGTTTCACGAGTCGTGGGAACATCACCATAGAGATGCAAAGCACTGTACAACAAATTGGAATGAATACGTTACAGAAGCCTCACTGTTTCAGCAAGGAGAGCAGTGGCGATGATGCATTCCAGACGGGGATTCTAGATTCAATGTGTCACAAGACAAAACCAATGGTCACCTCTTTTGCAGCTGCTTTGACGATGGAATGCATAAATATTTTGTGAGAGGGATGTTTTTGCCAGATTTCTTGGCAATTTCTCTTAAAGATTGTTTGATTTCATCCGTCGAGAGGCTAGAAGCCAACTCCATTGAGTAAAACAGCCAAAAAGGGAGTAAATGAAAATCTTCAAGCACTACAAAAAGACGATGATAAAAGTACGAAGGCGGGAAAAGTAACAACGGTAGGAATGGTGAAACACAAGAGGCCCAGTCAGGTGAAAATACCGGGGCTAGTAAGCAATAGCCCGCTAGGAAAGTCTAAACAGCTGAGACAGGGTGAATGTAGTAGGGACCACAGGGTGATGGCGTGCATATCAACAGGCGTCGACATTAAAGTGAGCACTCCTAGCCTCTGAATATCCGACTGCATCACTTCCATGTTAGAGATGCTTGACGTATGACACAATGATACATACACACCGCATTCGCGGTTCGCTCACGTACACTTAAACCTGATAGGATCCTTGCCTCCTCGCGGATTCGTATACATACTACGTGTCGGCCACTTCACTAGATTGCTAGTAGCCATCGCTGTACCAGACTGCCGGCAGAAACTGTCATCAGTGCCTTCTTGGACCGTTTGGTATCACACTACGGATACCCATCCACCATCACAACCGACCGTGGAACCCCTTTCGAATCGTCGCAATTCGATACGTTATGCAGCTTCTTAGGTTGTCGCCGTATTCACACGACGGCATATCATAAAACAATGAATGGCTTAGTCGAACGCTTTCAACAGCTCAAGTCATCTCTCTGTGCTACTTCCGACCTTGACTGGAGCGAAAACATTCCCTTAGTTTTCCTAGGTATTTGCAGCAGCATCAAAGCTGGCCTACAGCGCGCACCAGCAGATTTGGTTTACGACACAACACTTAAGCTGGCAGGGGAGTTAATTTCGCGCCCCTCTTCGTAGTATATGCCACCGACAAATTTTGCAGCTTCCCTTTCCCAACGCATGTGTTCGCTGCGCCTGACCCACTTTCATGAGCAGACCGGAACTGTGCAACTGCACAGAGGACACTCTACCTGTACGCACCTTTTCGTCAACACAGACGCAGTGCGTCGTACTCTTCAGCCTTCCTACGCCTACACCTTCCGAGTTCTCCGAAGAACTCTTAAGCATTTTT